TTAAGGGAGTTTTTAAAGAAGCACAATCAAGTTATTATAATGGGGGATTTTAATACAGTGTTTAGTAAATTGGATATGGCCGAGGGAATGGTTTTTTAAACTGACACAGGAAGAAAAGAACTAAAATCACTGATGGAAGAAAATGACATAATTGATATATGGAGAGAAAGGAATGAAAAGAAAAAAGAATACTCAAGAAGGCAAATAGTCGGGAATTTTATGTGTAAAACAAGAATTGACTTTGTTTTATATACAAGGAATATAGAAGGTTTTATAGAAGGGCTGAGGTATGAAGAAACAAGCCTAAGTGATCACAAACCACTTTTTATGCAAATAGATTGGAGCTCAGTGAAAAGAGGGCCAGGAGTATGGGTCTTAAACACAGAGGTTTTAAAGAATGAAGTATATGTTGAAAAGATAAAAGACCTCATTGAGAAAGAAAAAGAAAATGGAATGTATGTGGAAGATAAAAGAATATGGTGGGAAAATGTGAAGTATTTAGTGAAAAAGATAACAATAAAATATTGCAGACAAATTCAGAAACGCAAAAAGAATAAGGAAGGAGAAACAAAGGAAAGATGGGGAAAAGAATCAAATGAGAGAAAAAGATATACAAAAATTAAAAGTGATAGAGGAACAACTGAAAGAAATGGAGGAAAATAAATATCAAGGTGCGAGGTTGCGAAGTAAAGCACAGTATATAGTGGAAGGAGAAAAGTGCATAAAATTCTTTTTCGATCTGGAAAGGAGAAAGGGGAAAGCTGAAACCATAAAAAGAATAAAAGGGGAAAATGGAGAAGTAGTAGAAAATAATGAGGAAATTTTGAAAGAAATAAAAGCATATTATGAAAAGCTATTTAATACAGAGGGAGTAAAAGAAGAAGAAAAAGTATTGCTATTGAAGCAGGTAAAAGAAAAATTAGGAGAGGAAGATAAAAAAGATTGTGATCAAGACATAAGAAAGGAAGAGATTAAAAAAGCTATAACCGAATTAAATAGAAACAAAAGTCCAGGTATAGATGGTTTGGGGAGTGAGTTTTATATCGCTTTTAAGGATTTTATAACTAGCATCTTAATAGAAGTATATGGAGAGGTTTTTAAGAAGAGAGAGATGAATCAAAGAATGGGAATGGGTTTGATGAAATTGATATATAAAAAAAAAGGAGAAAGGGTAGACCTAAAGAATTACAGACCGATCACAATGCTCAACACAGATTTAAAGATTTTGGCAAAAATTTTAGCCAACAGATTAAAGGAAGTAATGCCGAGTATAATTAAAACAAATCAAGTGTACGGTGTAAAAGGAAAAGACATAGCAGACACAACAATGAGCATAAATGATATGATCAGGTACATGAAAAGCAAAAACAGAGAAGGCTATGTAATTAGTTTAGACTTTGAAAAAGCTATTGACAGGGTGGAACATGATTATTTATTTGGAATTTTAGACAGTTTTGGATTTGGAGAGAATTTTATAGAATGGATTAAAATTTTATATAGAGGCGCAATAACGAGAATAAAGTGTAACGGGTTTTTAACACAGTGTTTTAAAATAAAAAGATCCATAAGACAAGGATGTCCACTATCAGCTCTTTTATATTCACTAGTTTCAGAACCACTAGGACTCACCATAAAGCAAGAAGACAAAATAAATGGAATTGGTGTTGAAGGAAGTAGAGAAAAGGACAAAATATTTCAATATGCGGATGATACTACAGTGATAGTCAGAGAAATGGAGAGTGTTAAAAAAGTCATGGAAACTGTACAGATGTTTTGTAAGGGATCAGGAGGTAAGGTAAACGAAGAAAAAACAGTTTATATGAGATTCGGAGACGTGACAGATTTAACAAATCAATTTACTTTCAAAGAAACTACAGAAATGAAGATCTTAGGTGTTTTAATTGGGAAGGATGAAAAGAAATCAAGCGAAACCATGTGGGAAGAGATCTTAGGAGGTATTGAAAGAAGACTGAACTTTTGGAAACTAAGGACTCTTAGTTTAAAAGGGAAGGTTTTAATCTTAAATGTGTTGATGGTGTCTAAGTTATGGTATACTTTATATGTGTCGTCTATGCCGTTGTTGGTAGAACGAAGGCTGAAAAAAAGTTGTAAAAATTTTTTATGGGACAGTAAGCCACCAAGAATCGCGTACAATACTCTAATAGGTGCAGTGGAAGCGGGGGGTTTGGGCTTAATGGATGCTGAGCAAAGGAAGAACAGTTTGAGAGTGATAAAAAAGTATATGGATGATGAAAACAAAGCAGCATGGAAAAAAACAATGGATTATTTTATAAACAAATGTGGGAATTTTAATTTGGGGGATAATATTTTATGGATGAAAACAAAGAACTGGATGATGGAAGGGTTACCAGATTTTTATAAGGAAATGATGAGCGCCTGGGGGAAATTCTTATCCAATGTACTTTATAATCCCCAAGGACGAGAAAACATTTTGAATCAGCCGTTATTCTTAAACAACAGCATTTTACATCAAGGAAAAGGGATTTTCTATAAGAAATGGTGGGAGGTGGGAATCACAAGGGTTAGAGATGTTTTATATGAATTTAAAGAAGGGTTTTAACCTGTACAGTGTATAGTAGATGCAATGGAGGAGGCAAAAGAGGATTTTAACAGACAAGAAATAATAAACAAATATGATGTCATAAAAAATGCAATACCCAAAGAGTGGGTTAAAAGAATTGAAAACATGGAGGAGGGGGGAACAGGAAGAGATGTGTATGTGAAGGTGGGAGAAAAACTGTTTGCTTTTATAGAATGTACAGTGAAAATGTTTTATAGCCTTTTTAGAGATGGAGTTTTTAAAAAAACCTATTGTAAATAAATACTGGCAGCAGCAATTCAAGCAAATCTTAAAGAAGAAAATATATGGAATAATATGAAAGGGATGATCATCCCTAGAACCTAGAATATTTTATCAGACATAAAGCGATATTTACAGATGTTTTACTGAACAAAATAGGAATGGAACAAAGTGCAATATGCAAAGTATGTAATGATGATGAAGAAGGGTTTTTACATTTGTTTTTATATTGCAAAGAATTGAAAGATTTTCATGCGAAATGTAAGAAAATAATTGAAAATCTGAGAGGGGAACAAAATGAGAAAGCCACACAATGGAATAAGATCGTCATGTTAGGAGTGGATGAAAAGGGTAAAAATAAAAAAACTGATTAACCTGCTTGTGATACTGATGAAAAGTGCAATATGGGAGAGAAGGGTTGTGGCAAAGAGGGAACAAATTGTAATGGATGTAGAGCGTGTTTTTAAAAGAAATGTGGAAAGATATGCCGAATGTTTGTTTCTCTATTTTGCACAAGAAGAAAAAATGGATGAATTTTATAATGTCTTTACGCCGGATGTATATAAGATCTTTAATGACGTACAATGGAGAGTGCCAGGACAACAAGGGTAATTTTTATCATGATAGGGTAATTTTATCATAATAGGAATATAAGTCTTATTTATTTTTTTGTGAGGACTGACCTTATTTTTTAACCTGATATTACAATGGATGTAAAAATTGAATGTTTGTAAATTTAGGATTTATTGTTTAAACACATATGTATAGACTGATGTATTTTAATGTGAAAATTATTTATGGTGTAATATGTTGACATACTTTTGAATTAAAAAAAAAATCAAAAATGGATAGCGTGTTGGACTTCTAAGCTAAGCTGTACTAAATTCAAATCTGTATAGATACCCATGACATGGAATCATGCTGAAATTTGTGCTCACACATCCAAACTCCACACTAGCGTTCAGATCAGAAACATGTGCTGCATACCCTCAGAGCAATAGCTATCAACAGAATTTGGCTGATATGTTTGTAAAAACTATGGCTGGACATCACATAGCTAACTTTGATCTGCCGTGACTTGTCTGCTGTTTGTAGATATATATCTTGACCTATGTTTGTGGTTTATCTTAGGTTGAGGATAACAGCAAGCCTCCAATCAGTGGTAGGAGCAGCATTCAGACCAAACAACATATATGCATCTGCCAAATCAGCATCTGTGTAGGATGCCTATGTCTAGGTGACTTTAGATGGATCTAGGGTCTTCAAAAGAAGCTCTCCAGGAACAGGGTTGGTGACCACTGGTCTAAGCTATGTTTTTCACAATCTGCTACCCCAGAATGTGCATTGCATGGCTGGTGAAGTAGATGCCTTAACCGGTTATCTAAGTCTGCATGGCATTTGAGTAATGCGTAGCTTGATTAAGAGCCAACATTCTATGCAGATGGAAGTAACCATAGCGCTCCGGCACTGTGGCTAAGTTGGCTAAAGCACCTGTCTCGTAAACTGGAGATCCTGGGTTCAAATCCCAGCAGTGCCTACTACAAGTCTCTTCTCTTGTTGCAAGAGCCATGTCTTTGTTACTGCCTGCCATAAAACATCAGCAAGCAGAGATTGTTCGGTCACATTGGATGGAGACTTCTAAGCATGATTCTATAAACAGCTTGTGCATTCAGGTCCTGCCATATTTGTTTGCTTTCACAAGTGTGTTGCATGTAGATATCAGCCGCTATCAACAGAAACGCACCAGTTTACCAAACAGGACCTCTTCTGTAAATGCAACCTAAAGAATCTGTGGGGAAATGGAGATGCCATGCCAGGAAGCTAAATTGCCCATCAAGCAAATGTAAAATCCTGGCTATGACTCTCTTCAGAGCCTGATACAAGAGTCTTTTGTTTCAACAAGTGCTAAGGCTTCCTTATAGCCTGAGATGAAACATAGCACAAGCAAGCCAATATGGGTTCTGTGGCACACTTGATGGTGAATTCCAGGAGGGGCATTGATGCCATTAAAAGATAGGTCCTGCCAGAGTTAATTTCTTTCAGACATGTGTTGCATGTAGAATTCAAGTCCTATCAACAGAAAAAACACTTGTTTTAACAAACAGGAAAAGGAAAGCACTATGCGCTCCCTGAATTTTGAAGAACCTGAGATGAAACATCATCACACCATGCCAGGTAGGGCTCTGTGGCGCAATGGATAGCGTGTTTGACTTCTAAGCTAAGCTTTGGCGCTATTCAAAGGTTGTGTGTTCGTGTCCCACCAGAGTCATATGCTTGTTGCTTGCTGGCTTTTTCTGTCTCTGAGAAAAATTCCATGGTGATGAATCCTGTTGAATATGGCAATTCCCCACTTTCCATCTCAGATAGAGTGCATTGTTGGCCCCCAGTTGAAACAATCGACATTATGTTCCAAATGTTTCTAGTCATTTGGCCAAAATGTAGCTGAAGCTGTACTAAATTCAAGTTTGTATAGATATCCATGACATGGATTCATGCTGAAATTTGTGCTCACACATCCAAACTCCACACTAGCGTTCTGATTAGCAAAGATTAGAAACATGTGCTGCGTAGCCTCAGAGCAATAGCTATCAACAGAATTTTGCTGATATGTTTGTAAAAATAATGGCTGGAGATCAGATAGTATTTTTGATCTGCTGTGGGTTGTCTGCTGTTTGTAGATTTATATCTTGACCTATGTTTGTGGTTTATCTTAGGTTGAGGATAACAGCAAGCCTCCAATTAGTGGTAGGAGCAGCATTCAGACCAAACAACATATATGCATCTGCCAAATCAGCATCTGTGTAGGATGCCTATGTCTAGGTGACTTTAGATGGATCTAGGGTCTTCAAAAGAAGCTCTCCAGGAACAGGGTTGGTGACCACTGGTCTAGGCTATGTTTTTCACAATCTGCTAACCCCAAAATGTGCATTGCATGGCTGGTGAAGTAGATGCCTTAACAGGCCGTCTAAGTGTGCATGGCATTTGAGTATCGCGTAGCTTGATTAAGAACCAACATCCTATGCAGATGGAAGTGGCAATAGCCCTCCGGCACTGTGGCTTAGTTGGCTAAAGCACCTGTCTCGTAAACCGGAGATCCTGGGTTCAAATCCCAGCAGTGCCTACTACAAGTCTCTTCTCTTGTAGCAAGAGCCATGTCTTTGTTACTGCCTGCCATGAAACATCAGCAAGCAGAGATTGGTTCTGTCACATTGGATGGTGACTTCTAAGCTTGATTCTATAAACAGCTTGTGCATTCAGTTGTCATATTTGTTTTCTTTCACAAGTATCGTCTTCAAAGGAGTATCTCCAGGAACAGGGTTGGTGACCAATGGTCTGGCTTATCTTTTTCTGAATCTGACACGACAGAATGTGCATTTCATGGCTGGTTGAGTAGATGCCTTAATATGTAATCTATGTCCGCAAGCCATTGGCGTAAAGCTTAGCTTAAGTAAGAGTCAACAATCAGCTCAGAAAGATGGCATTTAAAACCAATGGTGCTCTGGCTTAGTTGGTTAAATTACCTGTCTTGTAAACAGGAGATCCTGGGTTCAAATCCCTTCAATCCTCTTTATTTCTAGTGCAATGTCTTCAATCCCTTTGCTCCAGAGAAGAGAGAACACCAGCAAGCCTTGATTTGGTCTTTGTGGCATTGGGTGGTGGCTTCATGGCTTGACTCAATTAAAACCTCGTGGGTTCAGGTCCTGCCACATTTGTTTACTTTCTGACGTGTTTTGCATGTAAATTTCAACTGCTATCAACAAGAACTCTTTGTAGTTGCTTCCTAACGAATGAATCCTGGAGAAAAGGGAGATGCAATGCACGGACGCAAAATCACCCATCAATCATAAAAGAGATACAGAGTGCGAATTTCTTGAGTGCCTGGTAAAAGACTCTTCTGTTTGTGCAAATGCTATGCCTGTCTTACAGCCTAAGATGACACACCACACAAGCAAGCCAAGATTGGTTCTGTGGGGCACTGGATGGTAAAGTCTAGCCTTGACATTGATGCGATTAAAAGCTTGTGGATTCAGGTTCATGAAAAGGTTGGTTTCTTTCAGACATGTGTTATGTGTAGATTTCAAGTGCTGTCAACAGGAAAACACCTGTTTAGTAAACAAGAACAGGAAAGCGCTATGCCCTCACTGAATTTGGAAGAGCCTGAGATGAAACAGCTTTGCTACTTATAACCTGGGCTCTGTGCTGCAATGGAGTTGGACTTCGAGGTTCCTCCCTGGAACTACTCAAAGGTTCTTGGTTTAAGTTACTCCAGAGTCATTTGCTTGCACATGGGTGTTGCTTGTTATTTTTTTCGATACCACAGAGGGTATCCTGTTGAATATGGAAATTCCCTACTCTCTATCTTAGATGGAACGCTTTGTTGGCCCGCAAAATTGTGCTGTTTGTGGATAATGATGATGAACATTTCTACAGAACATTTCTACATTTCTACTGAACATTTTTACTGAGCATTTCTGCTAAACAATTTTGCTAAACATTTCTAATGACCAGTTCTGCTAAATATTTATGCTATACATTTCTACAAAACGTTTCTGCTAAACATTTCTAATGAACATTTCTAAAGTTGAATTTTTATTGAACATTTCTGCTGAACATTTCTGCACAACATTTCTACATTTCTATGTTTCTTTTTTATTAAACATTTTTGCTGACCTTCTGATGAACATTTCTTTTGAACTGCTAAGCCTATCTAAATCGTCTTTTCTGCTCTGTCCTCCCCACCATTTCCCAAAAATACAAACAAATTGAGCAACAGCAGTAAATATTCACAGATGTTTTTCTTTTTATACAAAGAAAAACAAAATTGAACCCACAACCCACCCCTCCGGCTCATCATGGCTACCCATTAACTGTCGCTGGTTACAGAGATATTATAAAATTCAACAACAGGCACCAACCTTTAAGTGGGTAGTGTCTGTAACTCCATAAAGTATGCAATAAAGGGATGCCATTTATGAAAAAACTTATCTGTACAACCATTCATCGTATATCTTATTTTCTCGAGTTTCAGAAAAAACATCACGTCCTTTATCCACTGAGAGATAGATGGGTATTTAGCAGACTTCCAATGTAACAGTAGGGAATGTCTTGCTATAAGGGATGTGAAAGCAATAACATCCTTTTGTATCGAGCTCAAAGGAATTGAAGCTGGAGGGATCCCAAATATCGCAATCAATGGACAAGGCTTTAAATGTACCCTGAGAATAGTGGACATGATGGTAAAAAAGTCAGACCAAAAACCATGGAGTTCACGGCAGAAGAAAAACATATGGCCAAGACGACAGGGAGAGCCATGGCATTTATCACACTTGTCCTCTACATCCGGATACATCACAGACAATCTCGACTTGGACAGATGGACTCTATTTAAAACTTTGAACTGTATAAGTCCAAGACGAGTACAAGAAGTGGTAGTCTGTACCCTCCCTATAGCATGTTCCCAACACTCCTCACTTATTTGTACGCCTAATTCCGTTTCCCACGCATTACTAATTTTATTACTGGACCCACTACCTTGCGTCTAAATCTTTGAAATCATTCCTCTCTGATGCGGGTTATTTGAAAACAGGTCTTCCCAAGCCTGTTCAGGAGGAGCAGAAGGGAAATCAGGAAAACATCTAGAAACGAAATTCCGTATTTGAAAGTACCGAAAGAAATGTGTCAAGGGGAGATCGTAAGTGGATGCCAAATTGGCAAAGCTATCAAACACACCATCAGAATACAAATTTCTAACTTGTTTAATACCCTTGTCATACCACACTGAAAATGAGGAGTCCATACACGATGGGGGAAATAGATGGTTGTTCACTAAAGGACACAAAGAGGATGCACCTACAAATTTAAAATGTCGTCTAAATTGATACCAAGTCCTAAGTGTGCTGAGGACAACAGGGTTATCAGTATATAACAACCTCTTTGAACCACTTCAATCAGGTTTTCGTAAATTTCATAGCACTGAAACTGCGTTGGTCAAAGTTACAAATGATCTTTTGATGGCCTCTGATTCTGGAGCTACCTCACTTCTGATTCTTCTTGACCTTAGAGCTGCCTTCGATACTGTGGATCATGGTCTTTTACTTACCCGCCTCGAAAGTGTTTTTGGTGTGTCCGGGAAAGTTTTAAACTGGTTTAAATCCTATTTTACTGACCGTTCCCAGTTTATTTCTATGAGTGGCTTTAGATCTGACACTTGCTCGGTGCTCACTGGTGTTCCTCAGGGTTCAATTCTTGGCCCTCTATTGTTCAATATTTATCTGTCTCCACTTGGGCATCTGCTGCAAACACTTGGCCTCCATTATCACTTCTATGCTGACGATACCCAAATCTACATTCACTCAAGATCTGGTGAAAGCATTGATGTTGGTTATCTTTCTGGCTGTATTTCTGAGATAAAGAAATGGATGAATAATAACTTTCTGTGCCTGAACAGCGGGAAAACTGAGGTCATGCTCATAGGTTCCCGTCATCAGGTTCGCAAAGCGGCTCCACTGTCTCTATCCGTTGACGGCTCTGTTCTACAGTTCCAAAGCAAGATGAGGAACCTTGGTGTAATTTTTGACACTAACCTCACTTTTGATTCTTTTGTTCAGAGCACTGTGAAAGCTTCCTTTTTTCATCTCAGAAATATTGCCAGATTAAGACCAATGCTAAACTTGTCTGTCGCTGAAAAGTTGATAAACTCATTCGTGGTCACGCGATTGGATTATTGCAATGCCGTTTTAGCTGGAGTTTCTAAAACTGCAATTAGCAAATTGCAGTATGTTCAGAACTCTGCCGCCCGGATCCTGACGGGAAGCAGGAGATATGACCATATCACTCCTGTTCTGAAGTCCCTACACTGGCTCCCGGTCAGGTTCCGGGTGGATTTTAAGATCTTAATGCTAACATACAAGGCATTGCATGGATTGGCTCCACAATATTTGACTGACTTATTAATCCCATACACCCCACATCGCAGACTGCGCTCCTCAAAGGGGAATCTACTGACGGTTCCACTTACCCACCTTAAGTCTATGGGTGACAGGGCTTTTTCTGTCTACGCTCCATCTCTTTGGAACTCTCTTCCCCCTGAACTCAGGGAAGCTCAGTCCTTTGGAATTTTTAAAGCTCTTTTAAAGACACACTTTTTTAAACTCGCTTTCGATTCTTAATATCTTTTGACTGTTTTATATTTGTTTATTATTAGTTTTATTCATGTTATTTAAGTTTTTATTTATTCTGTGATTTGTCTTTTAATGTACAGCGCTTTGAGAAGCCACTTTAAAGGCGCTTTTATAAAATAAAATAAAGTTTATTATTATTATATTGGGAAAGTTTTGTAGGTAAAGATGTGTAAAGTAGAGCAGGTAAAGAGGATTCCCTACAAGAAGATAATTCCAATTTAGACCAAGAAGATCCAGGAGATCCCAGTAACAAAGTTTATGGATGTGTTCAGCCCAGTAATAGAATTGAAAATTGGATAATGCAAGTCCTCCCCTAAGTTTACATTTCTGCAATAAAGATTTATTAACCTTTGGTGGCTTCCCTCCCCAGATAAATGTACTAATTATCTTATCCAATGACTCAAAGAATGATTTTGGGAGAGAAAGAGGCACTTGTTGGAACAAGAAAAGAAACTTCGGTAAAATATTCATTTTGACAGCGTTGATCTTGCCAATTAGGGAAAGTGGTAAGTTACCCCAACTCTGAATGTTAGATTTAACCTTTGAGATAAGGGGAGTAAAGTTAGCTGATAGAAGATTAGATAGAGAACGTGTCACGTTGATACCTAGGTATTTAAAACCTGACTGACTAAATCGAAATGGTAGATCTGACTGTTCGAGAGAACACCTTTGCTACTTAACACCTTCCCTCCTTGTTGACCGGGCATTGTGGCGCAATGGATTGTGCATTGGACTTCTAGGGTCAACATTGGAGCTATTCTAAGGTTGTGTGTTCAAGTCCCTCCAGAGTCATTTGATTTCAGATGGACTGGATTGCTGATTTATTCGAGAGATGGTATTTTGTTCAATATGGCAATTCCCTACACTACATCGTAGATGGAATGCTTTGTTGGCCCCTGTTGAAAACAACGTCATCAGGGTCCACATGTTTCTACTCATTTGGACAAATTGACACTGAAACTGTGCTAAATTTAAATACCTAGAAAATACCCATGACATGAGTTCATGCCATAATCTCATGCCATAATTTGTGCTCACACATCTAAACCCCAAACTAGCATTCTTCTTACCCAAGATTACCAACATGTGCTGAGTACCCTCAGAGCAATTATGTCAACAGAATGTTGCTGATAGTTTTCTAAAGACTATGGCTGGAGATCAGATAGTTCTTTGCTTGAGTTTTCTCTTTGGTAAGTCGCTTTGCATAAAAGCGTCTGCTTAATGAATAAACGTAAATGTAATATTTGATCTGCTGTGGCTTGTGTGCTGTTTGTGGATCAATATCTTGACCTATGTTTGTGGTTTATCAGAGGTTGAGGATCCTAGCATTCCTCAAACCCATGGTAGGAGCAGAATTTTGTCACAAACAAGATATCTACATATGCCAGATCAGCATCTGTGTAGGATGCCTATGTCTAGGCTACTTTAGATGGAGCTAAGGTCTTCAAAGCAGGATCTTCTAGAACAGGGTTGGTGACCACTGGCCTGGGCTGTCTTTTTCTGAATCTGACACTACAGAATGTGCATTTCGTGGCTGGTTGAGCAGATGCCTTAATATGTCTTCTATGTCTGCATGCCGTTGGCATAAAGCTTAGCTTGATTAAGAGTCAACAATGAGTTCAACAATACTGAGCTTAAACACTATGGTGCTGTGGCTTAGTTGGTTAAAGTACCTGTGCCTTCCATCCCTTTGTTACAGAAAGGAGTAAACACCAGCAAGCGCACATTTGTGAGTGCAATGCCCTCACTCAATTTGGAAGAATCTGAGAGGAAACACCTTTGCTACTTAACAACTTTCCTCCTTATTATCTAGACTCTGTGGCGCAGTGGATAGCGCATTGGACTTCTAGGTTTCCTCCAATTGGAGCTATTCAAAGGTTGTGGGTTCAAGTCCCTCCAGAGTCATTTGCTTTCAGGTGGAGAGGTTTCCTTTTTCTTCTATACGAGACAGGGTATTTTGATGATTATGGCAATTCCCTACTCTCCATCTTAGATGGAATGCTTTGTTGGCCCCTGTTGAAAACAACTTTATCAGGGTCCCCATGTTTCTACTCATTTGGACAAATTGACTCTGAAACTGTGCTAAATTTAAATACCTAGAAAATACCCATGACATGGGTTCATACCATAATTTCATTCCATAATTTGTGCTCACACATTCAAACCCTAAACTAGCATTCTTCTTAGCCAAGATTACCAACATGTGCTGAGTACCCTCAGAGCAATTATGTCAACAGAATGTTGCTGATGTGTTTGCAAAGACTATGGCTGGAGATCAGATAGTACATTGCTTGTATTTTCTCTTTGGTAAGTCGCTTTGGATAAAAGCGTCTGCTTAATGAATAAACGTAAATTTAATATTTTATCTGCTGTGGCTTGTGTGCTGTTTGTGGATAAATATCTTGACCTATGTTTGTTGTTTATCAGAGGTTGAGTATCATAGCATTCCTCAAACCTGCGGTAGGAGCAGCATTTTGTCACAAGCAACATACCTGCATATGCCAGATCAGCATCTTTGTAGGATGCCTATGTCTAGAATACTTTATCTGGTGCTATGGTCTTCAAAGGAGTATCTCCAGGAACAGGGTTGGTGACCAATGGTCTGGGTTATATTTTTCTGAATCTGGCACGACAGAATGTGCATTTCATGGCTGGTTGAGTAGATGCCTTAATATGTCATCTATGTCCGCATACTATTGGCATAAAGCGTAGCTTGAGTAACAATCAACAATCAGATCAGACAGGTGTCATGTAAGGACTTTGGTGCTGTGGCTTAGTTGGTTAAAGCACCTGTCTTGTAAACAGGAGATCCTGGGTTCAAATCCCAGCAGTGCCTGATACTCTTATTTCAAGAGCAATGTCTTTAATCCCTTTGTTCCAGAGAAGAGAGAACACCAGCAAGCCTTGATTTGGTCTGTGTCACATTGGGTGGTGGCTTCATGGCTTGATTCAATTAAAACCTTGTGGGTTCAGATCCTGCTATATTTGTTTGCTTTCAGACGTGCATGTAATTTTCAACTGCTATCAACAAGAACTCATTTGTAGTTGCTTCCTAACAAATCCTGGAGAAAAGTGAGATACAATGCAGGGACGCAAAATCACCCATCAATCATAGAAGAGATCCAGAGTGCGAATTTCTTCAGTGCCTGATAAAAGACTCTTCTGTTTGTGCAACTGCTATGCCTTTCTTACAGCCTGAGATGACACACCACACAAGCAAGCCAAGATTGGTTCTGTGGGACACTGGATGGTGAAGTCTAGCCTTGACATTGGTGCGATTCAATGCTTGTGGGTAAAGGTTCGTGCTAAGGTTGCTTTCTTTCAGACATGTGTTACGTGTAGATTTCAAGTGCTGTCAACAGGAAAACACCTGTTTAGTAAACAAGAACAGGAAAGCTCTATGCCCTCACTGAATTTGGATGAGCCTGAGATGAAACAGCTTTGCTACTTATAACCTGGGCTCTGTGGTGCAATGGAGTTGGACTTCGAGGTTCCTCCCTGGAACTACTCAAAGGTTCTTGGTTTAAGTTACTCCAGAGTCATTTGCTTGCACATGGGTGTTGCTTGTTAGTTTTTTCGATACCACCGAGGGTATCCTGTTGAATATGGAAATTCCCTACTCTCCATCTTAGATGGAACGCTTTGTTGGCCCCAGGTGAAAACAACGTCATCAAGTTCCCCATGTTTCTACTCATTTGCCCAAACTTACACTGAAGCTGTGCTAAATTTAAGTTCCTAGAAAATACCCATGCCATGGATTCCCGCCATAATTATGTGCTCACAAATCGCAACCCCAAACTAGCATTCTGCTTAGCAAAGATTAGAAACATGTGCTGTGTACCCTCAGTGCAATTGCTCTGAACAGAAATTTGGTGATATGTGTGTAACGGCCATGGCTGGAGATCAGATAGTGTCTCTGATCTGCTGGGGCTTGTCTGCTGTTTGTGGAAATATATCTTGAACTATGTTTGTGTTTTATCATAGGTTGATTATCCTAGCATGTCTCAAATCAGCTGTAGGAGCAGCATTCTGGCACAAATAACATGTATGCATATGCCAGATCAGCATCTGTGTAGGATGCCTATGTCTAGAATACTTTAGCTGGTGCTATGGTCTTCAAAGGAGTATCTCCAGGAACAGGGTTGGTGACCAATGGTCTGGGTTATCTTTTTCTGAAGCTGACACGACAGAATGTGCATTTCATGGCTGGTTGAGTAGATGCCTTAATATGTAATCTATGTCTGCAAGCCATTGGCGTAAAGCTTAGTTTAAGTAAAAGTCAACAATCAGTTCAGAAAGATGGCATTTAAGACCAATGGTGCTGTGGCTTAGTTGGTTAAAGTGCCTGTCTAGTAAACAGGAGATCCTGGGTTCAAATCACAGCAGTGCCTCATGCATGATTCTTTGTTTCTATAGCAACCTCTTCAATCCATTTGTTCCATAGAAGAGAGAACACCAGCAAGCCTTTATGGTGACAGGTTGTTGTTTGTTGTGCATGACAAATGTTTGAATGTCTATAAGAAAGAGGAAAAAAGAGAAAGAGAACAGGGAAGTAAAGACTTTTTTTTTTTTTAAAGGGAAGATATCATGTGAAGATATTGTTCATTGTTTAACATTGACTACGTTTACATGGACTGTCGTAATCTAATTATTGTCCTTACTCTGAGTAAGACAATATTATGATTAAGGTGTTTACATGAGTCACTTTTAGAATACTCATTATCAATATATAATACATACATCAAAACCCATTTTACATGTTATAGAACATAGTTCGATTAACAGCACACATCATTACGTCACCGAGCCATGCCATCCGACATTTTTTTCAGAATTTCACACCATTGTACATTTTGTCTTCATTATGGTGCTGTATACAGTTTTGGTGTTTTTATTTACAATTTTTACGTACGCTTCAAGTGCGGTTAATTATTTGTCATGCTGTACCTGCAAATAGATGACTGCTTGAAGCTGTGGGCTGTGTCCCAAACCGCGTATTTAACTGCGGTAGAGTAGCCGAGATACATTCATTTATTTCTCCTACTATATGCATGTGTTTCGCCTACTGTGTGGTAGGTGACTACGCAGTTTGGGATGCAGCCGTGCTCTCTTGTTTGCCATAAAACGGTTGAGCACTGCCGTGTGTGATTACAATGTGTCACAAAAATGCGGTGAAAACTCTCACACGACCTTAATAGTGTGATTAAGGTATTTACATGTCTGTAATACACGTCAATAATGCGGCTAAAACAGGAGTACTCCACATGTCTTAATTCGATTTGCGTTTATCCAATAATCCAATAATCCAATATTAAACTGATTAAGACAATACTCTGATTAAGAAACTACCATGTAAACAGCAATTTTGAATTACCTTAATCCGATTAAGGTCATCCTCGAAGTAAACGCAAATCGAATTAAGACATGTGGAGTACTCCTGTTTTAGTCATATTATCGACGTGTTTTACAGACTTGTCAACACCTTAATCACACTATTAAGGTTGTATGAGAGTTTTCACTGCATTTTGCGACAGGACACGCACACACATGGCAGTGCTCCGTTTTACGAACCGTTTTAGGAACTGTCAAACAAGAGAGCACGGCTGCATCCCAAACTGAGTACTTACCTATAGTAGGCAAAATACATGCATCTTGGCTACTATATAGAAGGTAAGTACGTGGTTTGGGACGCAGCCCATGGCTTCAAGCAGTTGTCTATTAGGACATACGGCATGACAAATTGTTAACCGCACTTGAAGCATTCGTAATTTTTTTTTAATAAAAACACCTAC